GCCAGAGGACACACGGTGACCCCCGCAGACATACACCTACATATTTAAGTTATAAATCAGGCTAACAAACTGTTAAATAAAATGAGTTCTAACCTCCTGCCTTGACAATTACACCTTTGGAATGACCGGGAAGACCAGGTACAAATTTAGATTTCTCTGCGTCTTGGGAGTTACACATCAGGAAGACACTGTCTAGAGAAAGTTTATTCCACCTTTTCCCAGCCATCCTCCTTCCTACTGCCAGGTCCTTTGTGCACAAAGGACGCCCATACATGTGTGAGGCCACCCAGTCTCATGTCCTAATTCCATCTATACCCCTTGGAAACAGCCACCCCTTAGCTGTCCCTTGGGTCAAGGGGTGCACCAGAGGCATAACCTGTCTTGGGAAGAGACCCAGGGAAAAGGCTGGTGTGGTTGACAATCAACTGGTGACTATCTGGGCAGGGATGCCAGAGTCACAGATATGGGGTGTGGGGTCATGAAGGGGGCCCTGTTGACTCCTCACCCCACAGGGAGAGGGCTGGCCCAAGTAGGGCCAGATGGAGCCTTTGGAAGTGACCAGCTTAGGGCACGCACCCGCCTTGTCCAGATTTAAGGGTGCTACTGAACCCAGCCTTCCCTGGCAGCCTCCAGTGCTTGGGCCAGGGCCTAAAGCTATCTTTCCATTGGAGGGCAGCTTGGACAACACCCAAACAAGACTTTCAGTCACTTCTATTATTTATCTTCCTGGAAAAATTTAGCAGGGCTTGATCCCAACTTGTGGATTTCTGGAGGTGGGGAGGGTGGGGAGGTGATGACAACAGGGCATTATTTTCAGGTTGGGTCTCCAAGTCAGAGCCTGTTCAACTGAGGCAGAGCCCCAAGTGGACTCCTGCGCCCCCCACCCCACGGAGACAAAAAGGTAACACAAATAGGGTGACTAAGTGAGGCGGAGGTGAGGAGCCCTGGGCAGCCCAGACAGGTCAGAAATCCAGGGACCAGCAGGAGGCAGGGGCCGGGGGAGGCAGTGAAGGGCATCACTCTCTCTGGCCAAGATTTAAAAAAAACCTGTACCCGCCCCCACCCCCTGCAGATCGGCTTTGCTGTCCTCCACATTAGGGGACACTTACACTTGTTGAGCCCTTGCAGGCGCCGGCCACTGCACTAAGGGCTCCACATGTGTGTTCTCGTTTCATCCCTGCAGCCACCCTGTGAGCTGGATTCTATTATCACCCCATTTTACAGGTGAGGAAGCAAACTCCGTGGATAAGCAATTTGCCCAAGCCCACACAGTAGGTAGAGGTGACAGAACTCAAGACTAGCTGTCCCCAAGCCCCCACTCTGTCCACTAGAACACATTGCCAGCAAGAAACTGGCAGAAGGGAACGAGGTCAGACATGAGGGAGAATTTCCCCACAGTGATGGTTTGTGTGGCGGGAGGAGACGGTGAAATGGGGAATCCTGATGGACGAGGGAGCTCTCCTCAGCTGGCCCCTGTGTGTCCAAAGGCAAGTGATGCCCTCTGGAGGGTCCCCGGGATCCTGGCTGGATCCTGGAAGCATCCAGACTTCTCTCCATTCTGCAGCCCAGGATCCTCTACTCGACCCCACCAAGCCCCAAAGATTGCCGCTCTTTGTGGCTCAGAGCTCTCAGCATCACAAGCTGCCAGTCCAGGGCCTCCTCTTCCAGGAGGCCTTCCTTGACATCCCTTTTCCTACAGTCCAAGTCCCAACGTGGAGGGTGCAAATGCTCCCCATGTCTGCAATAAGGCCTACCATCTTCTCCACCCAGCTCTGGGACACCCACAGAGAACCGATCTACTCAAACCCCAAGCTGGGCCCCCCAAGACTTCTGAGTGGTCCTTGCTCAGGCCCCTCACCCACGAGGGCACGCCTGTACCCAAGTGTAAATGACTGATGCAGGTGCCTTAGGGCTCACCAGGAAACCCCGCTAGGGCAGCGGCTCTTACCTCACGTGGCTGTCTCAGAACAGAAGCCTTTGGGTCATCCATCACTTCGGACCAGGGGGAAGATGCTGCGCTCCGATGAGGTAGGGGCACCGGGAGTCACTGAGGTTCCCGACTGTGGAGTCCCACAGCCACCACCCTCAACGTGCTCCCCTTCCCAAGACTGCCTGCCTTAAGCCCAGCTCTGCCCTATCCTCCCCCGGGGCCCGCGCTGGCATCAGGGCTCCCAGCCAGGACCCTCAAACTTCCCCAGTTAGTCGCACGCAGTGGATACCCAAGGTCGGTGCGCAGAGCCAAGTTAGGGATGCCCTCCCTCACTGTCCTTCGGGCTCCCCCAGTTTTGAGAGGAGGGGAACGGACAGGTACCAGGAGCTGTCTGTTCTCCCGCGCTGCCCTCGAGGCCCTCAGCGGGGACCAGCCCGCGTCGCTGTCTTACCTGCGGGGCAGAGACCGAGCCCGCCGCGGCCACCTGCT